CTTCACTGTGCCTGGAGGATTTCGAGGAGAACAAGAAGAAGGGAATACAAATCCTAACAAGGAAGAAGGTCTTCCGATTCTCCTTGAGAGGCCTCTTTACTCTCTTTTCACTGTCATGGATGTTGCCTCATTAGCAGCCTCCTTAACTTCCCTTGTCTTATTCCTATCAATCCTAACATCTTCCATGGAGAAGAAAGATTTCTATCGAACTCTCCCCAGACGACTCACCTTTGCATTCAATTTCCTCTTCTTCTCTGTTGCCACAGCAATGCTCGCCTTCACCTCCACCATCTTGCTCACCATTCAGCCCCGGAATTCGTTGGTCAAGACACTTAACTATGTTGCTGCTTTCATTCCAATTGCTGTCTTTGTCATGGCACAATATCCTTTATACGTTGCATTCTACCGGACTCTCAGAAGCAGTTTTAGGCAGATTTGCAAAATTATTCTCCCTAAGAAATGCGAGAACTTGCTTTTCAAGCACCGGAAGGGAGCATCCATGATGTAAGCTTTTTGATCTGCAGGTGGTTCGTTAGTACTTGCTTGATTTGTTCTTCAGAATTCTTGTACAATGTTTCTGCTGTTTCCATTCTCATTGTTGTGTAATGATCATAAGACAGTTACATCTGGATTTATATGAATTTTCTTCCTATATTAACCTTCATATATATAAAGATGTTAAAGAGTAAAAGTAAATCAATGTATTAAAAAGAAAGTAAATTAAAGAGCAAGTAAATCACCTTCATGTAAGTCTTATCCGTTACAGTCAATATCACTTTTATCGAAATAAATTTTGTTGCTGGGTTAGGAGAAGTAACAGAGTTTACAGAATTTTAGCACCAAAACTGGATATTCTCTCTTAATTAAATAAGTATTGGATTTGCCAAAATATACCCTAGCCAAAAGTTACAATAGATATTCAGAAGTTTTCTTTAGAAATTAGAGTATCAGATTAAATAGTATTTACATAACTAGAAATCCATCTGTTATAAGAACCAGAAATAAAATCTTAATGATTTCTTGAGCATCTTGATGGCATTCTATAAGGATTTTGACATCCTTCACCCGAAAGCATTTGCATTCACAAGAATAAATTAGAGCAAACCTCATGGAAAACCTCTAGTATAGTCCTATGATACTCTACAGAATTCATTGAAATATAATAATTCAAGAGACTACGGAGATCCTTAGGCTGTTCGATTCGATTTGCCATGATCATCTCAACCATGGACTCCCTAAAATCCTCTCTGGGATCAAAAGAGCTCTTCTCCATTGCTACCATTACTATAAACTTAGTCCCAGCTTGACTATTCCTTTGCTGCCTCTCCTGCTGTGTACTATGCCTTGTGATCTCCTGCTTTTCTCTAATCATCTGGTCTAGTCTTTCTTGAACCATGGCATGTGCTAGGCTTGATATTGACGCGAACCTTTCGGAGTTCGAGCTTTCTGCTTCCTCCGAAGACGAGACACTAAGCCTGCAGCTGCAGCACAAGGCCTTGCAGCCTCTCTGTTGAAGCCTTTGCTGCTTCTTGTAATCTCTTGAGACACTCATCTTGTAAGAATGAGCATTTGAAAGCAAGATTACCGCAAAAATATTCACTTATGTGCTCAAATGAGAAAGTGGGTCATGTTAGGCATGATTGTGTCTGGAGTTTTAACCCAATAAACACAGCATAGAAGAGGAGGTTTATGATTTTGATGTGAAGTAGGCTAATTAATAATTATTATTACCTTTATAGGGAAGGATTAGGTGGCATGTTTCTGAAAGGTTTGGGTTAATATGGAAAGTGATTAGGCCCATTAACCCTTTATTTTGAAGATTAGGACACTAACCCACTTGTTGAATGATGGAACTGTCTTACAAAAAAGAAGTATTTTTGGTTGGCTTCACATGTCTTGTGAGTATCACTTGTAATGTAATTCCTGCAGATTTATGAAATTAGTCAGTCTTATCTGCTGGCATTAGAGGAAGGTTAGTAATTGATTTTAAAGGTTGAGATGATTAACTTATCAAAGCAGTCTGATTTTGATCCCTTTTGCCTTCATTTTTGTTATTAATGTATAAATTATAGATATCGTCGATACAGTAGTACAATAGTTAAAGGTTAATAAAATCTTTATTGAGAATATATATCTCGTTATCTTGTGGGTGTAGTATGGGTTGATATGGGTCTACTCATAACACTCGTAGAATTTAACTTATTAATATATTTGTGAAATCGTAGCGTTTGAACATCTGTTTTCACTTTGTTTTTGTTGATTATTCTCAATTTTTCAAATCATAAAATTGCGAAATATCTATTTGATTCGCACTTTTGGTTTAGTAAACTTGTAAAACGTATATAGGAACATAGATTTACACTCTTGTGTGGCCTGGGAAATGCATATGACAGTGAAACCACAATAAAAGTAGTTATAATCTGATGGGTGATTTGATTTGCAATAATATATGCATGGTTGTGGATGTTTTGGAGACAAAGCATGCTTTATTTTTCTGGCATGTGCCTCACTAATTTTCACAAAAGAGTCTTACTTTTTTCCCATATGATTAGAGAAATTGAACTGATGAGCCTCTTCTATTTCCTTTTGATTTGGAATTTGGAGCCTGATTCATGCACTTTGTGGTGGGGAAAATCTTCCCTGCTACCTAATCCAATCATTAAGAAAATCAGATGAAGATATACATAGCTGTATAGAAACCCCTTTTTATAGATTCCTCCAAAGCATTTTTTATCACAAGGGTATTAGGAATTGCTAACGTCTACGCCGAAATTTTCACTTTTTTACCTTATCGGATGTTCAGACAACGTTCGATTCTTCGAAACATTTGATCAAGTTGTGAAATAATTGAGTTATTCCGAAAATTACCAACTACCTGTTAGTTATAGGGTTAGTGTTTCTATTTTTTTTTTTTATTGAATTTGTGAGTTTAAGTCGAGTTATATATCTTATCTCACGTATGTCTTCGTTAGAATATCGATTATGTTGTTTTTTTTACTCGGAAACATAATAAAAATACGAATTTTGTTGGTTTTTTACTCGAAAATTGTAATAAAAATACGAACTTTTTTAAATTAAATCACATTATTTTATATTATAAAATTAATTAAAAACAATAATCAATCCCAACATGATTCACATTCTCTAAAGCTACACAATTAAATAATACCCAAGCTGTTGAGCTAACAAGCAAAGCATATGCTGCCATGATGAACATCATCTGTAAAAGTAGTAAAGCTGGTAAAAAGCAAAGAATGACTTGAAGAGAAAAATTGCATGTGGGTGTGTTTGGTTGAAGAGAAAATTTACAGAAGTGCAAGAGTGAGCTCCAATTATTAGAGCAGCCAATTCGGGTGTCACCCCCGAGTTCTTTTAATATCCAAGATTAGATCTTCGAGCGAAAAATTATATTATATATGTCTCTAAGATATAGCATTTCAACAACTATGATATGAAATTTATTAATCTTATTATATTGCTTTTATTTTTGAATGATTAAGATTTCTCTGTACTATTATTTAAAAGTTGGGAATCCCGTGGAATCATGCTTCCGAGACGTGCTATTAGCACCCGAATTCTATATATTTGTCCCCTTGAATTTGATTATCTCGAGTCTCAAATTGT